AGCATGGTTAAAAATTTGAGTACAATGCAATTAGCAGGAAACTTGGAATATAACATTTTAGAGTAACTAGTATTATGATTGATAACGTATCAGAACATATCAGATGTTAGGGATTCCATGTAAGTTTTGGAATATCTATATAAATGACATTTATCTATACACTGTAACCTAAGATTCATCTCCAATCACTGGACAATGTTTTTGAAATAATTTAACATACCAAATAAACTTAGTTTGACATTTCTCTCTGAGGTTTCTCAGAGAAGTTCTTTTGAAGTATCCCAGAGTCAGCTGGAGGCTAAATAGCTTTAGTCAGATTTGATATAAACTATCAAAAAGGTTTTAAAACACAACAGAATCCTAGGTCACTGTGAAACAGTACTTATTCATTTAACCAAAGTCACAAAACGATTAAAAGAAAACAAATACGGATCACCTAAGGGCACAGAAACTTATATAATCTGTTATCAAAAGGAGCACTTCTAACAGAGAGAGAGAGAGATCAAATTCCAGTCTTGTATTAGCTTACTTAACAAAATCCACTTACTTAGGTAACTTCAATCGAAATTTAGTTAATCCTGGCCATGTATAAAACTTTCTCAGTAAAATGTAATTCCATTCCTCATACCTTCTTAACTAAAAACACACATTCTACCATTTTGAAATATTTTATTATTTTCAGTAGCTTTAATTATATATTTAAATTAGAGTCCCCGACTCTTAAAAACCTTAATTTCCAGTGACAACCAAGAGGCAAGTAATAGTTACCAAAATCTGGAGAAACTATTTTAGATGATTTTTAAGACATAATTATTCTTATAGCTTACCTAAAAGATCTTATTTCATTTATATTTACTTTAATTTCATCATATCAAGTTATTTTTCTTGCTGACAAATTTGCAACAGATGTAACAAGATTTCATTTAACTTTTATTAAACCTAGGTGCAGTGAAAGTACTATATATAATGCTGATGGCTCTAAAGACATGTCTGTATTAATTAGATCAACAAACTTAAACATTAATACCAGGTATTAATTTCATACTAAATATTTCCCAGTTCACGTGAACCTGAAACTCATTTAGCTTAATTTCTCTTGTATTTAGAATTGTTTGGTTTGTAAGCGCTTACTTTTCTTTAAGCCAATTAAATAGGGCTCATTTACAGATTAACCTCAGCAATGTTATCCAAAGACAAAAACACATACAAACACACAAACACACAGAGACATCATAGTTCTCATTTCAAAAGTTCAGCCCTGAGTCAGGTACAGCAATGTAAAACCCGTCGGTTTACAAAAGAGGTTGCATTAAAGTTGGGTTTCTGGCAGACAGAACAAATCAAGCTCACTTGTCTAGCTGGCTAAACCCTTTCTACTAATATTTATGGAAAACAAGTCAAGTTCTAAATTACTGTACCCTCTTTTTCAAAATTTGCATTTTAAAAAGATGGCAGAGATAAGGGTTTTTGAGAAAACCAGATAGGACATTTGTATATAGGCAAGATACAGGCAAGTTTCTCCTAGGATGACTTTGTTTCCCCTTTGTTTAATATTTACAAGCCTCTTAAGATCACCCATATTTATTAGAAAATCTATCAACTTGTTCCCCACTATCAATGTTACCTGGGGCTCCTGTGGGGAAATCAGAATTGCAAGCCTCAAGTCCAAGGGAGTGTCCTGGCCTCTTACAAGATATTGGGACAAGGGAAATTGCCCTGCTGCAGAAGTGGCTCCCAGTCCAAATTGGGTGCCCTGTCGGGTCTTAGATGGTGATACTAAACCAGGTTCCTGTGTCCCGGGTGTTACCACAGAAACTTCCGTTTGATCCCCTTGGGTAGGGGAAACAGGAGGCAGTGAATATGTTGGTGGCATGGTGGGGGGGCAGTTGGAACAACTGCTGGTTCATCCTGCTTGGCCACTGGGGGAGCTGGATAGGCTGGACGGGGGTTTAAGTTTTGAAATAACATGTCCCCACTCTCATTTTTTTCTCTTCCCTTGTAGAACAGGTTTTCCCTTGGGTTTTCTTTCAGACTGCTGCACCATAAGGTGGCAGCCCTCTGACTCCTTTTCCTCCTGATGCAACAGCATAAATGCTCCTACATATGGAATCTCATCTCTTTTCCCTGCTCTTTTGCAGAACATTTCTAACTGCGAGATTGTATAATAATTGAGTGAGCCATTCAGGGGCCATCGTTCTTCTGATCCTAACATATATTGGGTCCACACCCTATTACAATAGTACATCATGTCTTTCTTAGTCATAGGCTCATGGCTATGTTTTGCCCATTTATATAATATATTCCCCAAAGGGCTCTCCTTTAGGATAGATGGAGTATTTTCCATTTTTAAAAGTTTGATGACACCAAGACACAGAAGACGCCAACAAATTCCAACACAAAAGGCACAAATTCTAGCATCGATGCACACAAAACCAAGACAAAACCAACGAACTAGTTCCCAGATCGGGTAGACTTACCCTACAAAACCAATGAACTAGTTCCCAGGGAACCAGTTCCCAGAATCGGGCAGAGTCCAACAACAATTCCCCCCTCCAGCAGGGTACCTCAACCAGATTGGCTTGTCCTGTAAAGGAAAAGCCCAGATTGAGGGGGGAATATGTTCCTGGCGTGCACGCCGGAGCGACTTACCCTCCAAATCGAATCGAGTCCATTGACTCATAGCACCAAATTGAAGTTTGCCGGTGCCTTGCTTCAATTGCCAAGTGCTGGGATAACCAGTGCCGCTTCAGGGAATTTTGAAGGGAAGATCCTCAGGACAAATGGTCCTGGCAGCTGCTAGGGCCTTGCCTCAATATTCCCTGACCGGGGCTGGCTAGACACGAGCAAGGCTCCTGGTTGGCTCGCTAAATTTGTTGCCGAGTCCAAGCTCACTCTGCTTTCTGCACGACAGGCCAATGAATCGAAGACGAGGTGTTGAGGTAAGGAATACGACTTTATTCGGAAAGCCGGCAGACCGGGAAGATGGCAGACTAGTGTCTCCGATAAACCATCTTATCTGGGTCTGGATGCCAGTTTCTTTTATAGAATCAGAGAGGCAGAGGCGGTGAGGAAGTAAAGTAAAAGGGCCATTAGTCTTGCAAAACATCTCCTGGAATGACCAGCCTCAGTGAGGTGTTGTGTTAGTTTCTTTTTTCTTGCAGCCATTCACAGGTGGGCAGGGTTTCCTGAGGCAGGTCATTATGCATGATTATAATGACAAAAGCAACGAAAATCAAAGGTTAAAGTCAAAGAAACAGATCCAATGTGGAGTCCGATTTAGCTCTTCCCTGTCACACACTTAAAAAATGAGATGAAGTGGGATTCCCTCCTTTTTAAAAATGTTTTTAGAGCTACTAAAAAACTTGCATTTACACAATAGTTGGTAAAAATATTCCTCTGGATTGTACAAGAAGGGAGACAGGGACCACTGATAGGACCGGGTGTTTGATATTAATCAGACTTGGCTTCTTTCTTTCCTGCTTCATCAGAGGCTGGCCTCTCCTCATTTTTATTTTCTCCGTTTTCTGCAGGTAAGTCTTCTTTAGTCTCTTGGTGAGCCACTTCAGCCTGTCTTCCCTTTGCTCCCTTTTCCCCTTTGTTTGCACTTTTTGCCTGAAGATTTATCCTTTCCTTCCACCGTTTTGGCTTCATTTCCACTTTTGCAGAAGCTGTTTTAGCCAACAGCATCGCTGGTCTCCTCTTGGGCTCCTCCTTCTGTGCCCCTCGGCAGAGCTGACCTTCCTCTTGGACACCATGGCAGCGGGGCAGGCGCGTGCTGGGTGCCTGCGGGCCACAGCATGCCGCGAATCTTCACGAAGCTGGGTTGCCTGGCTGTGATGCCAAAATCTTGGCTTTCTGTGCACCAATGCCGAAAAGAAATACGGAGATGGAGTTTTGAAGGAGAAAAAGTAGCTTTATTCTTTGCTAGGCAAAAGGGGGAACACAGCAGGCTAGAGTCTCAAGAACTGTGCCCCCCCACCCCGCCACTGGGAAAGGTTTTTATAGCTTGGGGCTCGCGGTCTGGGGTAGGTGATAAGGCTCAAAGTAATTAAGGTCTTGCATTTCTTTTCTTCTGCAAATTTATGGCCAAAGCTGGCATCAGGCAGCTGAGCAACCGGGTCTGGTGTCCCTGAAGTTATCAGCTGTGACCTTCTTTCTGAAATGAAGAGTGCTGCAAGGGTGTGTAGGAGAAGAAATGCCAGGTGCAAAGGGTAATTCATATGGGGGTCAGAGAGTAATTGGCTTTGCTAAGGACAAGTCTAGCTACACGTGTTTATGAGTAGTAACAGCTAAAGAATAACCAAGATTGCTTAACACTTTCAGGCCTGGTTATGCTGTTTCCCCAACCTGTTCATTGTTTACTTATTTTCCTTGTTTATCCAAAAAGAAAAGTCTCATTTCTATTTTTACTGCAACAAATACCCCACTGCTAGTTCATTCCCTCCACATCAATGAAGGAAGGGAAATGGGCCTTGCATTCTTGTCTGGCTGAGGATAAACTTCAGTTTTGCTCCATTTGACAAGCACCAGCTGTCCAGCCCAGGGGCCCATCTATCTCCTACTTCAGCCGCTGCCACTCCTGCCACCCATGTTTTCTTTTTTTTTAATTAAAAAATGCCAAAGTCCATTATGTAAATTTGCATAAGGGCATGAGAATGCCTGAATCCCCATATGATGGCTAATACTGAATAGCAGCAAATTTTAATTTTTTCCTTAAGCTACCTGACGAAAGATGGTTTACTAGTATTGTTTTAATTAACAGCTTAGCACTCAGAAGCATAGCCACCCTCTGGGGGAGCCCTTTGCTTAACGCAAAGGAATCCTCGGGCTCCTCTCTGGGCTGTCTACCCTCTGCCTGCAGAGGTCGCTGGGCACCGCTCGCCTCTCTCCTGTGGTCCTAATCGGCTTCCCGTGTACAGTGCGCACGCGCTTATTTCGCTCCAGGCGTCCAGCTTTGTGCCTGATCGAAGTCTTCTCGGCCGCGCTCAGCGCGCAGTATTTAACCCGGACTGGTCTTCGGGCAAGAGTAGCGTGTTCCCTCGACCAGAGCGCCTGTGGGCCTCAGCGGCTAGAGGGCCTGGGACGGGCCTACAGGGGTCGGGCGGCACGGCGGGCAGCCCATGCGGGCGGGGCGGGCCCCCGCTAGGGCTTGGGCGTCGGTCTACGGTGGGGCCCGGAGCCGGGCGCGGAGCCCCTGGCAGGACAGGTACGGAGGCGGCGACCCTGGAAACTGCCTCCTCCCCCACCGTGTTCGCGAGGCTCCTGGCTGTGCTCTGGGGACTCGGCGCTCGCCTAGGGCGGGCGCGGCCGGGAGCCGGGTGTGCGGGGTGGGGGTCGGCAGGGGTGGGCCGCGGCGGGGGTGGGCGCCCCCTGCGTCTGGGCTGGTCCGACCCACCTGAGCTCTTCAGCCTGCCGGTGTGGTGTGCTCCCGGGGTCGAGTGATTGCGTCTCCGAATTCCTCCAGAACTGCAAGGGTTCCCCTCCTTTCCTGGGAGCATCCAAGGCACCCCTGAACCCACTCCAAAGCTACAGGTTTCCTGTGGGGCACACGGTTGAGAAGTTGTGTCAAACAGAAAAACAAGCAAACAAACAAAAACCAAAGCGGACTCAAGGTGGGGGGCCTGGATATGCGTTTGGTGTGTCAGTCTCCCATTCCTGGCGTCCGCCTTAACTGGCAGGCTCACCCTTGAGCAGTCATCTTAGCGCATCCCCACAGCTAAATCACACAGATGACGAACTCCGGTATTTTTAAGAGGCGGTGAAAAAAAAGAAAAAAAAAAAAAAGAGGCGGTGATTTAGAAACTTACCCTCACTTATAACAGTGTGGAGAGCAGCAAGCCCGTCTTGACCACTTACTAATCCAGTATGCTTAAGGTACTGAGAGTCAAGGAGCTATGAGGTGGAGATTGAAGTTCTTTAGCTAATGTATGGGCGAAGCCCAAGGCCCGGGGATGTTAGCGATAGTAGTTAAGGATAACTTTTTTTTCAAAGACATTTTGTGCTCACATATGTTCAGAAACTTCATGGTTAAAGTTTTCTCTACTACAGAATATTTTGGAACTTTCAGTATGCTACTGATATTTTTATCACGAATTTCCTACTGGAAGTATAGTATGGAGAGTTTCCCAGATTTGAACGGAAAATACTGTTTTTCTTGGGTGTTACCTCTGTTTAACATACGAAACAGTTTGGGAAATGGAGTTCCAGAATTAGAAACTCAAGGCTTGGAAGGGGCAGTGTAGGTCAGTGCTTTTTGAACCTTAATGCTACATACACAAAATCTGTTAAAGTACAGATTTCGGTTAGTTCTGTATTTTTAACAAGTTCCCGGGTGATGCTGATGCTGCCAGTCCATGGACCACACACACTTCGAGTAGCAAGGGTTTTCACTGGATTGAAAGAGACCACGTTCTGTTCCCTGCTCTCCAGAGCAAGCCGTGCTGCCTCGAATGATCTCTTCCCCTGTCCAGACCTATAAAATAGGAGACTGGACTAGAAGATCTCTCATGTTTCCTTCAGACCTAAAATGTTGTGATTCTAGTCCAGTTACCCTTGTGATAATTGAATTACATCTAAAATATCCTTGCCCTATGGCCAGTTTGGGCTTGAACATTTCTAGTAATGGGGAATTTACTGCATGTAAGGCATCCCATTTCATCGTGGGATAGCTCAATAAGGAAGTTTTTCATATTGCTAAAATACATCTCTATAACTTCCATCCTGTTGGTCCTAGGTTATCTCTTAGAATCAAACAGAAAAAAAAGTATAATCCCTCTTTAAAAGATGACTCTTGGAAATTCCCTGGCGGTCCAGTGGTTAGGACTTGGTGCTTTCACTGCCAGGCCCTGGGTTCAATCCCTGGTCAGGGAACTAAGATCCCACAAGCTGCGTGGCATGGTGGAAGAAAAAAAAAAAAAAAAAAAGACTCTTAACGTGTGAGATGACAGTGTTTCTACCAAGTTTTCCCCAAACTGAATTATCCTTTATTCTTCCATGACATTGTTTCAAATCTCTGTCTCATAAATGTAGTCCTTCTGTGTGGAGTGTAGTGGGGCTGTAGCTGGACTTTGAAGGATGGGTGGGGCTTTGCAAAACTAGGGAAAGCATCCTAAGCAGCTGACAGTGGTCCAGAGATGACACTGCGTACGTCAGATCCAGAATTGTTGGATTCAAGTAAGAAATGGTGTGTCAGTGAAAGATTTTGGGCAAAGCAATGTTTTAGAGTGTGTAGTTGTCTTACTGTGGTGTATGGTGTGGTTGGAAATGGAGAAGGAGAGAGGCAGGGAGCCAGATAATGCTTCACATTATCGGTAAAGAGGGCTTAGGTTGATAATAGTGATGCCTTCTATTTATGTATAACATTTTACAGATTACAGAACCTTTCACAGACAACCTTTCCTGTGAGGTAGGCAGGGCAGCTGTTACCCAGTTTTTATAGATGAGGCGCCAAAGAGAGTAAATGATTTGCCTTAATTCTCAAAGCTGTTACATGGCAGACCAAAGTGGTGACAATGGTAATGGCAGAGAAAGGAAGAATGCAGGAGGCAATACTGAGGAAGAATTGATAAGTTGGGCCTGAATGCACATGAGATTACAAAGGAAAAGAAGTTGTTAGGGAGGAGTCAGAATAGTTGGGAAAATCATAATACATGATCGACAACTGCCATAGGTTGTACTTGCTCAGATCTATCATTGTTAGTGGCTGTTTGGAGTTATAGGTCGGGAGGGATTGTGGTAGAGGATTCCTAGGTTGTTTAGCCTGTCTATTGGTACTGGGTGGTGTGTGGGCCTTGGGTTAGCTGTCCCATACCAAGGGAACTGAGAACTGGATCCTCAGTGTCCTCTGAGAAGGTAAATGCTGAGCAATTGACTGATTCAAATCTATCTTAGGGTCCTTGCCATCCTGCAGTCTCTGAATTTTGTTTTATATAATTTTTGTTTTGAAGTTCCAGCTAATATTAGTTGTACTTGGCTGATGGACAGATTGGCTATCCAATCTGACCTCCCCAAGCTCCCACATATCCACTGAGGGTTTCACTGAAGCAGAGACTGGACCCTTGCCACTCTGAAGCCACGCTAAAGCTATTTTCCCAAGATCTGCACTTCCCATAGAGCCTAGAGGTGTTCCCCCCCCCCACAGCAGCCAGGGGTTTCCCCCCCCCCCCCCCCCCGCTCTCTCCCTCTCTCTCTCTCATCTTTTTACCCTGGAAGCATATGAGGTTGTGATTTTTTGTCACTACCAAATTCCATAGGACCTGGAGCTGTCCCTGCACTTTTAGTTTCTTAGGCTCCTATCTGGTGAGCAAAGAGCTACATCTCTTGGGGTGTATGTGCGCCTGACTGTTGTACTTCCGCCATGGTGTCTCTGGGAAACCTGTCAGAACCAATTTATATCCCTAGAGCCTGGTGTTGGTATAGGCTTCTATTCAACATTGAGTGTCTTCTGTGTTCAGTGCTTAGCATACTGAGATGAATAAAAATTCTGTGCCCTGGAGGAATTCACGATGGGATAAGGGAGACGATATTGTAAGTAAAATGGGATCTTGTAATAGAGATATTTCCAAAGTGTTGGGCAGAGGAGGGAATGACTAGCTCCACATGGAGACATCAGGGGGATATTCAGGAAAGAGGTGATAAGTAAGTTGAGTCTTGAAGATGAAGAGAGAGACTTGGTGACGTTTGCAACATTTGCAGAGGCATAAGATAGATAGATCCAAGTGGCTGGAATCTAAGAGAACTTTGGGATCAAAGGAGAGGTGATTGATGAGATTAGATTCATAATGAGGCCAGGTTTTTAATGGCCTGTAGTTTTGTTCTAAGATTCAATTTTGTGGGAGGAAAGCCACTGGAGGTTTTTAGGCAGGGAGGTGATGTGGTTATATTTTGGAAAGCTAATTGTGGAAATAGACTGAAAGGGGAGAATCTGGATCCAGGACATCAGGAGACTCTTGTAGTAACCTGGGCTTGGCTTCAAGCTGAATTAAGTATTAGTGGGGATGGGAAGGAGGGGATAAATTGGAGGTTGTAGAGACAGAGTTCACCTGACGTAATGACTAATTCATGGGTTGTTGAGAACAAGAGAGAGAGAGAGTTGTTGAGGATGACTCGGTTTTCTATTTTGGATTGATGGTGGTACCAGTAGTAAAGGGGGAGTATAGATGAGGAACATTTGCTGGGGGAAGCTTCCGTGTGTTTTGGGTCATGTTGAATTTGGGCGTCTGTGGCGCTTAGCAGATAGGTGGAAATGTGGGTCTGGAGTTCAGAAGAGAGTGTGTGTCTAGGGGTGGTAGATGTAAGTGGTAGTTGATGCTGTTGGAATGGATGAGCCTAGCCATGCTTATAGAAGACTGAAGATAACAGAGGAGATGACAGGGATTGGTGGGCAAGGTGAGAGAGAATGTTGTCCAGGGAGCTACAGAGGAAAAAGTTGCAGGAAGAGAATCAGCAGCCTCTGTTGCTACAGCGAGGTCAAGTAGGATGAGCTTGGAAAATGTACTTTGAGATTGGGCAGTTAGGAGATTGTGGTCACCAGGGCTCTTTTATTTTTTTAGTGTGAGCAGCTGGATGGGAGCCAGGTGGATTGAAGAGTGGATGGGAAGTGAGGATAGGGAGGATGTACTACTCACTTTGAGTAGTTTGGGAAGGAAGGAAGGAAGGAAGATGGTGGCAGCTTGTGGAGGAGTAGCAGAGACTAGAGACAGATTTTCCTAGAATAGAAGTCTTGAGCATGGGTTATCTGATGATGTGTAAGAGCCAGTATAGAGAGGTTGCATTTGAAGGCACAAAGGAAAAGATGATTGCAGAGGAGGGTGGAGGGTTGTCTCTGAAACGGAGACATCATTTCTTTTGAAGAGGAATGACAGAAGAAAGGAAAAGAATGTAGGAAGAAAGAGGCAATGATGGATACACCTAAATTTGCAAAGGAATTCTTATCTAATAGGTTCAATTTCCTTTCTCAGCAAGGTTATCTGCTGAGGGGTGGGGGTCCTGGTGTGGGCTCGGATAGGAACAGGGACTTGATAGTGGTAAGGGAAACTTGAAACTGTCCAGAGAGGAAAGGGAAAGAGAGCAGAGTTGAGATATGCTCCAAGAACACTGAGTACCCTCCGAACTTGAATCCTGCACTGTAGGCCTCTCTTTCCTCTTCTTCATAATAATTATGGCTGACTTTTATTGAGTGCTTCATACCAGACACTCTTCTTAGTGCTTTTCAGGCATTCTCACGTGATTCTGACAACAACCCTGTTAGAAAGGTATTGTTAGTATCTGTGTTTTACAGAAGGAGAAATTGAGGCATGGAGTATTACTTGCACTTAGTAGAACTTATGTCTGATGACTCTCTTACCTCTGCAGGAATGGCATTCCTTCCTTGAGGCATCAGAGAAAGGCAGAAATTTCATCCCAACTCCCAGTTTCTGGTCCTTGAGGGGCTGGAGTTTAGGGCTGCTAAGGAGGGCCAGTCTGTGGGTATGGCAGTGGCCTGGGTGAGCAGGGTGGTAGAGTCAGTGTTGCTGCTGTATTTTTACAACTACATACAGAATTCTGAAATCCTTGTGTGATTTCCCAGCAACCTGACTAGAAAAAGTGACTGATAATGATTTGTTAGGTACTGCAGGCTGAGACCATGTCAATTGAGATGGTGAATAAGAAAAGAGATCTTGTCTCAGTCAGCCAGAAAAAGAATTTTTGCTGCCAGTTATGGGACTAGGCAGACCTATGACCTTACATAATAGCATAGATTATTAACACTCACCTTTGTTTTCCCCATTGGTGGGATAGATAGAATTTGTAGGTAAGGTGCACACCTGACTTGAGTGAAAGGGGAGAATGATGAGATGGCATGGGTGGAAGAGAAATGGACTTACCTTTCCCTGCTGCAGCCACTGGAGCATCATTTCTGTGTCCTTCCTCTTGATGTTGCCATGGATACGCCTTTGCGTGGTGACTTGAGATTGATTCCCATTATGATCAGATGATGACGTGGATTTAAAAAGAGAAAGGACAGAATGCTCTGCTTCTGGGGAGTGGCCGGTGAGCTGCCCAAAAGGCAGAGCCCAGCACAGCCGAGGTGGCTGTGGCTTTGTTGGCTGCTTTGGCTTTTGCTGAAGTTGTGAAATGGTGCATCTCTCTCTTTAGAGCGCAGGCTCAGGGTTCCCTGTCTGCAGGGTCCTAGTGCCAGGGACTTGCTGGTTGATCATGGGGAGAAAGCAACAGGAACTTCGAGTAGGCTATTAAGTAGGACTGCTGCTAGCTCTGGGAGGGTTGCAGTTCTTTTTCTTTTCAAAGAACATTTATTTATTTATTTATTGGCTGCTTTGGGTCTTTGTTGCTGCCCGTGGGCTTTCTCTAGTTGCAGCGAGTGGGGGCTCCTGTTCCGTTGTGCGGGCTTCTCATTGCGGTGGCTTCTCTGTTGAGGAGCACAGGCTCTAGGCGTGCAGGCTTCAGTCATTGTGGCAACGGGCTTAGTTGCTCCACAGCATGTGGGATCTTCCCAGACCAGGGATCAAACCCGTGTCCCCTGCGTTGGCAGGTGGATTCTTAACCACTGCGCCACCAGGGAAGTCCCGGCTTGCAATTCTTGAGTACCAGGCTGCACTCAAGTGTTTGTTGCCTTCCTGCAGAAGTGCCTTCATTGAGGATAAGTGAGGCATATTGTGTAGCTTTCCTTCCTGGCTCTTGGAGGTCTGGGCCCTTTGGAGGTGGGCCTGGTAGTCACTGGGTATTCCTAGGGGAGGAGGATATCCTGGGAGGGGGTAGACCTGTATTCAGTGTGAGAGTGGGCTACAGAAATTTCTGGGGATAATGAAGAGCTGGAGAGGTAAAAAAAAGTCTATTTAGTGTCTAGGTCCTATCTGTGTGAAATCTGCAAGGCAGATACTGGAGTAGGACCTAGGAATAAAAAGCTCTGTTTATCTTCTTTCGGGGTTCCTGTGCATATCTGGAATCTGGCCTTCCAAGCTTCCAGTACCTGAGCTTCTATTCCCCTCTCCTTTCCTGACTCCTGAGGGACTTATATCCACACATATCCCTCTCCTACTAGTGCTTTTAGAGATGTACAACTTCACCCTAGTTATAAGAAAATCTGTATCTTGCTGGTTACCTTTATGTTTCATTTTATCTCTTTGCAACCAAATTGAAATACCCCGTTCCTAATGCAGTTCAGTTCGAGTGTGTGGAACCTGCTGTCAGACTGCCTGGATTTCAGACCTCTACAAGTGGGATCAGAGAAAGCAAACAGTTGGGTTAGCCCAGGATCAAAGTTTGGTAAGGTGAGACAAGAGGAGGTCAGGGGCATAAAGGATGCTGGGGTACCAGTAAAAGCAGGGTAGAAATGGTGCAGGCTGGGTGCCAAAGAGGCTTTTCCTCCTTACTAGTTCCTCCTTAATTCCTAATAATCCACTTCTTTTCCTGTCATTTCTGAAATGTTCTCCAAGACCACTGGTAATCTATCAGAAACAGATTTCTTTCCCTCCTCTCTTTCCATTTTCCTAGAGTTTTTATTAGTATTTAATATCATTAGGGAGGAAAATGGATTAGAAATCCAGGGAGTATCTGTCTTCTGGCTGAGGTAGCATGTAACTCAGAGTTGTCCCGTGTGACATGGGGTGGGGCCCAATGGTGCTGTTGAAGGATCACCTACCTGTACAGCTAGTCAAATGTGCCCCCCTTCCTACTCACATGTGCCCTGCTGGCTATGAGACTTAGGTGAGTTGTTTGACTTCTGAGACTCAATTCTGTCACCTGTAGAATGGAAATAGTGGAATCCGTGTTGTCTGCATCACAGGTTCGTTTTGGAAGGAGATCGTGAAGTACACGTGTCAGTGGTCACACTGAATTTGCCTCCGAGAAGGCCCTATGACTTATTTTCTCTCTCTCAACATGTTCAGTTTCCCATCCAATTCTCTTGTTATCAATCATCACTCTCCCATTATTCCTGCTTGAAAACTCCCAAGTTTATTCATTCCTTTACTTGTCCATGCATTCATTCATCCATCCATTTATTCATGCAAGGTTTGAGTTCCTACCGTGTGCAGTTGTCATTGATGTACCCTCTCGGTAGTGATGAAGACAATATCTACAATTTGTTGAACACACATTCTGTGCCCAGCACTGTACTAAATGCTCTACTTCAGTCTTATTTAATCCTCGCAACATCCCTGTGAGGTAGGTATTATTTCCCGCTTTTTTCAGTTGAGGTAACCAGGGCTCTGAAAATATCTTACCCAGAGTCATACACATGAGGAAATAAGAGAACCAAAGCTGTACCCAGGTCTGTCCATCTCCAGAGCCCATACAGGCCTACTGCTTCTTTCCCCATGTCTGATCTATCATAGGGCCTTCTCGGGGCTTTTTTGTACTGTCTCTGAATCGGTCCATTTCCTCTTCCCTCTCTTTTTCTCTCATGAGCCTGGCTCAGACCTCCTCACCCCTTGCTCATTACTGCCATAGCCTCCTTGCTGTTTTCCCTGTCTTTATCAAGTTGCTCTTGCCTCCACTCCATTCTGCTCTCTGCCACCTGTTTGATCTTCCTAAAATAGTTTTCACTATGCCAGTCTCCTGCTCAGGAAGAGACTGGCTTCCTGTTGTTATCGGATCCAATTCATCTATCTCTACGTGATGTTAAATTCCCTGACTATCTATATTTACTTTGTAATACATCTCAATATCAGTGTTAATTCATTCAATAAATATTTGACTTCATGAGCTAAGAGTGATGGGATCATAAAGAGGAAAAGTTGAGGAGTCTGTTTTAAAAGGCTTATAGTTTGATAGGAGAACTCATCAGAATTCACTGATTCAGCCAAGCTAGTCATCTTTAACTTTCCCCAGTCAAGCAAAATTATTTCTGTCTCTACTCATACTGTACTCAAAAATTACAATGTTTGCAGGCTTTTCCTCTCCATATATCCAAACAAAAACCTCATGATTCAAGGGATAATCAAGTATCCCTTTTCTTTTTAGCTTACCTTTTTCCTCTCTGTAATTCCTTATAATATTTATCGTCTAGACGTTTTATTTTAATACCTGTACAGCTTCTGCATTTTTTTTTACAGAGCACTTTTATGTGCTTTATCTTATTTGAGCATTAATGTAGATATGGCAGGTGACAGTCCCATTTTATAGAAGAAACAGCATCTAAGAAGTTAGGTGACTATATACACTTGTGTGGCTAGTGAGCTGTGATGTTCTTGGATGTGCGCTCTTTTGAATCTTTGACGGTAGTGTGGTCCAGAGGAAGAGCACAGCTTTGGAAGCCTAGAAATATGTGTGGTATCAATGAGGAGAGTAAAAAGTGCAGAGGGTTCTGGTTCAGGCTTTGGTTCCAGTTACAGCTCCACTCCTTGTCTTCTGTGTGACTTCAGGGAAGTTGCTCAGTTCTCTAAGCCCTGTTTCCTTGTCAGCATTGTTCCTGGCTTGCCTCTTATGGGGTTATTTTGATGTCCAAATATGATGATAACTAAGTTATTAGCTAACTTTGTTGAGTGCTTACTAAATACCACGCAATGTCCTAAGTGTTTTACATGGATTATCTCAGCTAATCCTCACAACAGCTCTCAGAGATGTTCTTTGTTCCCAATTGATAGATGAGGAAGTTGAGGCACAGAGATGTTAAGTAACGGGACCAAGTTTACGTAGCTACCAAGTGGTGAAGCCAGGGATTGAATGTAAGCAGCCTGAGTCTAGGACCGGTATTCTTAACCATGGTACTATACAATTGTTTTTTAAGGTGTTCTGTAGACTGTAAAGTGTTCTGAACATGCCGAAGTCCAGGCTGCAAGGAGCTGCATGGCCCTGCCCACCTGTGTAATGGTGAATAGGGAAAGGAGGGGGCAACATGGAGATTTTGCAGAGGAGGAGAGAAATGGTTTCCTAGGGGGTCTGGCCAGGATTGGAGATGTGGAGAGATGTTTGGGGGCCATATATCTGGCTGTTGGCTATCATTCTTCTATTAGGCTATCTGGCCTGCCTTAGAAAGAGGGTGGAGTAGAGGAAGACCCTGTTCAGCCAGTGAAGCCCAGTGCGGACAAGACAGGTATCCCTCGGCCCAGGGAATCTACATCCACACTGTAGCTGGTAGAGCCATAGATCAGACCCCAGGACAACCTTGTTAGCTACTTAGGGGCGGGGACTGTTGGTTTCTAGCCCATTAGATGGATAAATGAATGAAGTGGTTACATAGCCCTCTTGAGACCTCTCACTAGAATGTATAATCTTATTAAACGTTTTAAATTATAAAAGTAATATGGTTATTAAAGAAATTTTGTGAAAAATAGAAAACAAACCATCTCATTGTTTCTCTTAAGGAGATGCCTAGGAGGCAAGGCCAAGAGTACAGGGGACAGGTGGCTGAGGTGGACTGGGCACTGCCCCCACTTGTAGGGGGCAAGTGGGACTCTCTGTTTCTGACCACCACCCTTACTAATCCGTTTGAACCTGATACTCTTAGGGTTCAGAGCCTGGCCCTTTATAACGACTAGAAGGGAGGAAGAATGACCATGGCAACCTTTGCCAGTGTTGAGGGAGCTGGGGTACTTGACTTGCTTTGCTTTGCTTTGCTTTGCTTTGCTGTGTGTGTGTGTGTGTGTGTGTGTGTGTGAAGTTGCCTCCATTGCTGCCCTTCCTTTGCTGTGTATTGGGCAGGGGGCCTGGCTGCTCCGGCCCAGGGTGAGATTGAAATTCAGACCCTAATCACGTGGGTTTGGACGTGACTCCAGAGTTTAGAAAGGGGAGGGAGGAGGAAGAGCACCAGAAAGGGGGGCGAGAGACCCTTATTTTGGCTGTGTGAATGTGTCGCTTGATGCTTGTGGGTCGGCTGAGGCCTCACGTCCTGGGGGTGGGAAGGGTGGCAGTGACGGTGGTGAGGGGGTGCGGGTTAGGAGGATCAGCAGGGCTGTGCTCCCAGCCGTAGGACAGTGTACTTTAGAGGTGAGCGTTGAGGGTCTTTGGCGTGGGCCTAGTCCCTTACACGCGGTCCCTCTTGGCTGGCCCAGGTGAAGCCAGGGGGCACTAGGACCCAGAGGCCAGCTCGATGCCTGACAAGTCTAGAGCAGCACTAGCGCAGAGTGAGACTCATCAGCTGGCAAGCAGGATTCGGTGTCTCTGGGTTCAGGAATCCTCCAGCAGCAGAGGGGACTTGCTCCTCGGCCCCGTCTCTGTCCCTACCCCTACCCCAGTAGGCCACCCAGGGGGGTCCATGGACTAG